CGTTTTTCCATCTCTGACTCCAAACTCACTGCTTGAAGCTGAGGGCTGTAATAAACTGCTTGTGGTGTCCCTGTGCTGTGACAACTCACAACCAGAAAAAATTACAGTACACACCCAAATTAAAACAATAATATTCTTCAAAGCCATACATTTATGGTTCAACTTGGATAAGTCATCTGATTAAGTTATTTTAAACTTTTTTTGTTCGCCATTATTTGGTCTTCGATTAAATTCATCATTTTTAAATGCTGTGGTTTTAAGCACCATTTTAAAGTCAGCATATATGTGGCATTTTGATTTATTAAGCAATCTGAAGTATTGAATATGTGAGCCCTTGCCCAGTTACTTCTTTATTTTGTATGCATAGTAACTTATGGCAATGATGAATTAATTTCACTCAAGCACAGAATCTGTGATTATTTTAAATGGTAACCATATCTCGACTTGATCACAGAGCTGTGAGGAGTCAGCAGACTGTGAAATGTAATTTCTATTATTATTTTTTTTATTTTGATCTCGCCAACCAAAAGAATTCCAACCAGCCACCTGAAATGGGAACGTCTGGGATCACAGATTTACCGGTCACTTTTTTTTCTTTTCTTTTTTGTCATCTTAATGAAAACATTTTTATGCAACTCATGCATATAAAATGAGGAGATGGATCAGTGTTCTAGATAGAGACAGTAGAGAACATCCTCAGACTGAAAATGGATAGCCCAGAGACTCTGAACGAAAACCAGCGTCAAACCCGTTGTGTGTTAACAACGTAACGTGTGTGTGTGAGTGTGTGTGTCTCAAATTCCCCAGTGTTCCCCAGACAGTGTTAGAGCACAGCAGACAGCTGTGTATTCCCACTAGATGGATGGCCAGTGTCATAGTGTGTGTTTACTGCACATGATAGAGCGGGAGACAGGCCAGGTAATGAGGCTACATTAAGGGCTTTTAGAGCTCGCAAACAAAGATGGAGGGCTGCTTCTTTCCCCTTTAATGATAGGTGTGTGTTTGGTGTGTATGTGCGAAAAAGAGGGGGGGGTGTGTGTGTGTGTGTGTGTGTGTGTGAGAGAGAGAGAGAGAGAGAGAGAGAGAGGAGAGAGGGAGGCAATGAAAGGCTCAATTCTCCGTACACCTTTGTTGTGTCACTTCTCGGAAGAAAGGGGAGAAATTCTCCCAATCTCTGGGCCAAATGCGTCGTCAGGACCCTTTCTCAGATTTCGCACCTGATGGAAGAGACAGATTTGCGTAGCGCAAGATTTGAGAGTAAATATTTGCTCAAGCTGAAGAGGAATAGCAAGCAAGGGTATGGTTGCACAAGGAATGAGACAAAAGCCGGAGTTGGTCTGAAGCTTTGCAAATAAAGTGTCTGCCTGCGTCTATTTTTGCTTAATCAGGAAAAGCCTTTCTTTGTACTGAGCCTCCACCTTAATCAAAACGTTGGAGCCATCAGCCATCGTTGACGACAGTAAATTTAGAGAGCGCCGAGTTATCTCCATCTCTCACTATCTTTCCACCACCCCACAACCTAAACACTTAGTATCACTATCATCTTCCTTCCCAAAGCTATACATCTACAGAATTACCAGCGTATTACCAGGGCAATAACAGCCTTCCTCTCTGTTTCCGATCATGATAATAAGTGGTCTAGGTTCTCCCTCATTGGAAGATTATGGCTTGAGGAAATAGCATCAAATAGCGGGTGTGTTGAAATGCAGGACACCGGCAATTTATGGGATGTCAAACACACGTGCGGGCAAGCCAGCAGCCCTCACTCATGCGGCATTAAAGCTGCCTGCACCGCCGCAGTTGATATTGTAGCTCGGGGCGGGGTGGCTTCTTCCGACCCAGTTGGTTTAGGACCGGCTGAGCCAGGGTCAGGGCTGGTACCCCTCAGGGAGAGGGTATGGGGCACAATGGTCGGCGCGCACACACACACACACACACACACACACACACACACACATACACACACACAAATACATACACACACAAATGTAGATACACACGTGCATATAGTCACACCCTCAGGTGCCGAGTATTGTCACTATCTGTCTCTCTTGAGTATTGAGTGTGAGTGTGTGTGTGTGTGTGTGTGTGTGTGTGTGTGTGTGTCTCTATCTGTGACAGTTCCGTCACCCCCATAGTTAGATCCGCAGCTCGGTAGCCCACTCATCATTGCAGCCTGGCTGTGTTTCTAATTGACATTCTAATTGGCAGATTTGAATGCCGCCTTTAGATGGCTAATTAATTTATCTCACCGCTGTCATTAAGGTTAAAGCACCATCTGATCTCTGCGAATATACTTTGCATATATCTGCATTATCATTATGTTGCAGTTAGACATATTGCACAGATTTTATTTTGGAGGAGGGAGGGAAGATTATGGCACTGAGATTAAGCTTATTTTAAGTTTTTTTCTTTTTTTAACACAAACTATGATCTCTGTCTTCTTTTTTTTCCCTTTTCATCATATTAATGTTTTATACATCAGAAATTACATGTAAGCACATTAAAAGCAAATTTCATTGGTTTGTTAATATCAAAGTAGCAATTTTCCTTGGACTTCCGTAGCAGTTTGGATTGCATTCAGATGTTATTAAAAACCCTTATTTCCTTGTCTCATATATCTTCAAGTTTTCTGAACATTCATCGCTGGTCCAAGAAAGAAAGCAGGGAGAAAAAAAAGAGAGATCCAGGCTCCATTAGAATGTTCATAAAATTGTAGTAAAGGCAATCAGACAGTCTTTCTCTGAATATTTTAAACATCGGGCATGTAAAATTTATGCCTAATTTGAATACTTATTAGCCGGCTGATCTCGGCTGCAGCCTTGAGTTTCTTATGCTGAGATTCATCACCGGATTGGATGTCACATTGTGCCAGTCTTCCCCCTCCACCACCTCCACCACCACCTTCCTCCCTCCCACTCACTCTCCTTTTCTCTCTCTTTCACTCATTCTTTTCATCTGTCTCTCTCCGTCACCCCCCCCTTTCTCTCTCTCTTTCTTTCTCTCTCTCTCTCTCTCTCTCTCTCTCTCTCTCTCTCTCTCTCTCTCTCTCCGTATTTCTCTCTCTCCCTCTCTCTGTCTTCTTTCTGTGTGTCTCTCTCCATCAGTAGTGAGTGGTGCGGTGTTAAACAGGGGCCTGTTTGTTCACAAGCACGCCTTGTCCTGGCCTCTTCCCTATTTACTTGTGTCCCGGGCAGCTGTCGCCCTGCTCTGTGTAACAGCTCAGCCCTGTTTGTTCTCCCTGCCTGGATCCTGTTTATCCTGGCTGTGGACATCCTTTAAGGCCTGTCCTGTATCTGCCCCTCGTCAAACACACACACACACACACACACACACACACACACACAAACACATTGAAGGACGTGTACACACTTCTATTAAAACCGTATTTACTGGGCCAAAGAATACACACGGTACCCATGTGGGCTGGGCTCAAATGCTCACAAAAACACATGCACACACACAGGCATAATTATCCGTCCCTCTTTTTGTTGCATGTATGTGGATCATATGGTATTCGGTTCTCTTGCACTTGAACTTTGTTTTTTCCTTTTTAAAAAGCTGTAAAAATGTGTTTTAAATGTGAAAGTGGCAAAACTGTTAAAAACAGGAATTGAAATAAGGCCACACAGCTTCTGTAACCACTTCAATAAGGCAGTTTTTTTTATCCTTTTAAAATATGAATTGTCTCAAATGTTTTCAAATTTCAATTTTAAATATTAAAAATGTATTGTTTTCCAAATGGAGACAGCACAAAGTCCATAATTCTGGAGTGCATTTTGAGTTGCCATTTGTTGGGTCTGAGTGTCTTTTATTTATTGTGAGAATGTCGACTGATGTTGGTGGGGCTCCTCTCTGCCCCATTGAAGGTACTGAGCATTAAATGCGGGGGGAAATGATAAAACATTTATTACTGGAGAGAGAGGAGGTAATATGCATAATTTATGCTGTTTTTAGCACAATCATTAGTGATATTCGTGATAGATTTTTTTTTCTTTTCTTCTCTCATTTTTTCTCTTTCTTTCACCAGTTTTCCATATCTAATAGATGCCGAGAAAATTAATACAAAATCTATTATCTGTTAATTTTTTTTGTCTTGCATTTTAGATCTCCCACAACATAGTTTGATTGCAGCTCAGCACTGGTTTAATTGTGTCCCGTTGAGAAAAGCAATTTTTTAAATGTCACAAAATAAATTAATATATAAGGTTTGATTAAAGAAGAAGGGGGGAAAAAAGGAAGCCAATGAATGACATATGAGCATCCTGCCTTTATGGCAGCCTGTGAGGCAGATTTTATTTAGCCACAGCAAAGATGGCAAACCCATTATAGTGTTCATCACCAGCCCTGCACCATGTGATTTGGTGCCTCCTCCTCCTCCTCCCCACCACCAAATTTTAATTTTGCATGATTAGCTTTGCGTCATTAGGCAACTTCATTCAGATGCGACGCACACTAAAAATCTGACAGCTTCAAGACGGCAAATATTTTAGGAGTGCCTGTGCTTCTGTTGTTCTGTCTGTGTAGCCTGGCTGTCCTAAAGTGTGAGGGAGATATTAAGAATTAAGCATATGCTCATTTGTGAATCACATATTTGTCCAAGCATATTTTTGTCTTAATTTCCCACAATTGTATTTGTGTATTAAAACAAAAAAACAAATAACGACAAAAATAATCCAACTTTTTTCCTTAAAGCCTTGTGCTTAAATTTATGCCCAAATTTGAGTGAATAAAAAACACATTTAGGTACCCCTCCCATTTTAAATAGCACCAGGACGTGCATCTCTTTGTATTGCTTCATTTACACAATGAATGCATAATTGCTCCTCCTGCATCCTCCCCCCTTCTCCTTTCCCCCCTCCCTCTTCTTTAAATGCTTTAATTTGCAGAGGGGGACTGAGGGCTTGATAATGGAAGCGTAAAAAAAAAAAAAAATAGGAGGGAAAAAGGGGGAATTGTAACAAGAAGAGCCCTAACCGGTGCCTCTTAATCACTTCTAGGTTTTAAATCATGATGATGCAGGAGTCGGCCACAGAGACAATAAGCAACAGTTCAATGAGTCAAAATGGAATGAGCACCCTAAGCAGCAGCCAATTAGAGGCTGGCAGTAGAGATGGGAGATCAAGCGCTGGTGACACGAGCAGCGAAGTAAGCACAGTCGAGCTGCTGCATCTGCAACAACAGCAGGTAAGTTGTGTTTCTCCCCCGTCTCGTCTCTCTGCCGCTCTCTCTCTCTCTCACTCTGTTTTCCCCTCGCTCTCCCACTCTGCTCTGCTCTGCTCTCTTCTCAGACAGCGCTAGGGTTTTCTACATAGGCAGGAGGCACAATGAAAAATTATGTTGTCTTTTTTTGTGTTTTTTTTTTTAGTACACGGAAAAAACATTGTTTATATAATCGGCTGTTTGTGTTGTTGGTAAATTTTCTCGGTAGTTTGTTGTGCTGTCGCCGTGTTTTTGTCTGAAGCTTTTTTTTTTGCCTGAAGAGAGATGAAAATGTTTTTGCAGTGACTGTTTTTAGTTGCTTATAGATTTTGTTGTGGGTTTTTGCGTAGGCATTTCAATTTGTATTTATAGAGAGCAGCCATGTGATGCCATGTGAGAGAGTGTGTGCATGTGAGAGTGCACGCGAGTGTGTGTGAGAGACAGACAGAGAAAGGGAAAGAATGTGTGTGTTGGAGCATCGTACGGACCAGTTTAGGTAGTGTGTGTGTGTGTGTGTGTGTGTGTGTGTGTGTGTGTGTGTGTGTGTGTGTGTGTGTGTGTGTGTGTGTGTCATGGCAGTGCTGCATCCACCAGAGGGCCTCCTAACTCGGCACTACTTGGAGGCTCACACACGGATACAGACGCTCTAACCACAGACCCACCAGCAGCAGAGAAACCTTTGACCAGGACACTTTTGACAGGCTAATTTGCATTCAGTCTCTCTGTCTCACTTTCCCTCAACTAGAAAGTAATTTAGATTTGTTTAAAGCACCCTTTGAGGCCTTTTTCTCTCTGACTGTCTTGATGATATCGTTCCCTTCTGTTGCTTATTTATTGTATTGATTTTACTGAATGGTTTCGGTTGGAGGCACCACTAACTAATCCCAAATATCTTTAAACTTTTCCTCCTTCATATCCACGTTTTATTATTATTATTGCATTATTCTTCTCAGTCAGAGCAAGTTGAGGGTGAATGAACTGCAGGGGGTGTGGGAGGTGGGGGTTGGTGGGGGGACAGGAGTTGTGAAAGTCAGTCGCCAGCAGAGTAAAGGAGTCAAGTGTCTCTCGTGTCTTTTCACGGTGAATGATGGCTTTGACAGTTCGCCAAAAGAGCAGTGGGAGATGAGGTCAGAGGGCCGTGCTTTGGGGTGGATGGGGGACCACGCCGCGGGTTTGTAATGATGCGCGCTGTCCTCTTCGTTTGATGGGAATTTTCATGCAAGCGTGTATTTGTGTGCGTGTGTGTGTGTGTGTGTGTGCTTTTTGGAGGCAGCTGAAAGCCTGTGGTCAGTTTGGTCGGGGCACTACAATAGATGATGTGTTTGTGTGTGTCTGCATCTGTATGTGTGTAGAGCGGTCGGGGGGTATTTGGTGTCGCAAAATGAAGCATGTCCTGCAGGCCCCCCTACCCGACGGCACACCTTCCATCCCCCATAAGCCCCATCCCATCTCAACACCCATCCTCCATCCACTGCACAAGCCCGATGGTCCTGCTGGTGGCTGCGGGGCCATCATAGGACTGTGGCCTTACACCCCTCTCATTCATCACCACTCTGCCACCCTTTCTATACACACTCACACACACACCTGATTGGGGTCAATTCTTTCCCTCTCTCAGTCATCACTCTTTTACATTTGAAGGTACTGGGTAGAGGACTGCTTTCTAACTGTGTTGATACTCTCTGTAGATAGAGGGTAAAATAGAAAGATACAGAGCAGGATAAGAAGATAGTGTTTGTGCATTATGTTACACTAGAGAGCAGAAAGCATTTGTTCTGTAAAAATCTTTTTTAGCATTTTTACTTTAGATATTATTTTAGTATTTTTATTGCAATTCATTTTCAATGCTTTAAAATTAAAAAAGTGGAAATTGCAATTTTTTTTCTGACTTACTGAAAATTACCTACATCTTACTAAAATATTTAGAGATTTAATATGAGACAACATTACCAAGAATAGTCTGATTGACATTTGCATGAAAAAGTGTATTTGAATGTATGTTTGTAAATGTAAAGTCAATAAGTCAACTAAAAACAAAGAAGCTGTGCCGTTTTAAAAAAAAAAAAAAAAAAAAAAAAAAAGGCCACGGCACTCCGAGAGAAAAGCGACGTAAGCATAAAGTGTCTAGTTAAGTGTCTGAGATGGACGTATGGCTAAGAGCTTCGTTGGGGGGGTGGGGTTGTGTGACAGTGTGTGCCTTGTAAAGAGGCCAGCCCTAGCCTTCTCCTAACCCAGAGACAGACACATTGAAATGAGCAGTCCAGCTAACAGGTCTCTGGAGGCTTTTTAAAACAGGGGGCCCTGTGCTGTTAACTTCACACACACTTCCTGTGGCGCGCTCACACTGCATCTCTTCGGAGAGAATAGGCGACGATAGATGGAGTTTTTTTTTTATTTATATATAAATGCATTTGTTAGCACAGCACTGTGCTATTTTGCAGTTGTTAGTGTGCTCATCTGTAGAAGGTGATGTTGTGATGCGAATGTGCATGTGTGTATGAAGCATGCATTTGTCTGGTCATATATTCATTCACCCATCCATGCTTGCACTTCTTTTTTCTTTTTTTTTTTGCACCTGTGTGCAGCTAAAAAATTCCAGTCCACGTCTGCTCTGAGTCCATTTTGAAGGAAGGCTGTTGGGTGTAATTTTCCACCCATATTTGGAATGACATTGAGTGGTCCGGTGGGTATAGAAGCTCCAGTCTCTCATCACGCTGCTGGGGGGATGATTAATAATAAGCACTGATGAATTCTCCACTGTCCCTGTGGGTTCTGCCATTACCTAGCAGCTCCAAAATACCACCTGCAGCTATAATTAGAAAAGCAGCATCTTAAGGTCTCGTCGCCTTAGATTCGGCCAAAGGCTTATAGGACACAGATCAAGACTAAGTTACACAGGAGCAATTTTTCCAAATTCAAATATTGATAGTGGCGTTTTTCCTTTTTTTTCCCCAAAAAACTGCACTTTTTTTTTTTGGACTCCTGTATATTATCTGTATTGTTGTTTATACAGGTCATTGTGTTCAATGTGAAAGCCACACACTCCGTTATCCATGCATCTGAATAATAGCTACTGTGTCACAATTGAATTTTCAACCCCTAATTTCTGTCAGGGTTTCATCACCCCATTCCCAAGGTTGTCTAAATAGACCTAATTTGATTTGAGATCACAGATTAGATACCCACTGTATCTGATTGCAATTTGCCAGCTGCAGATATGTATCAGAGCAAATGATGAATGTTGCACAGCCCTAATTACTATGCTAAAATGATCACTATAAAAGCTCCCTCGTTAAAAAAAGAGCAAAAATTGTGCTGAGCTCATATTACCAATCAATTTATCATTGGCCATAGTCAGTCTTATGTTTTAATATTAGACGCTGCTGTGTATGTACATGGGAGCAATGCATTGATCTTTGGATCTATACCATAATGTCCCATAATGAGGCTGTTAGTTGATTACAGTGGTCTGTAGACTTAATCCTGCCAGGGTTATCAGTTGGATTGATGAGCCAATACTCAGGAATGCTGCCCCCTCTAAATGGGCTCACTACTGTACAGAGCGTATTGATATTCAGAGCAAGATGGAGGCGCTGGCTTATCTATTGTGGCCGGGTCAGTTGTTTTAACCGAAGACCTCTGGATCGCTGTGGGCACAACCTTCTGCCACTTCAGCCCGCTACTCATCCAGATTACTGACTCATTAAAGTCAAGCGTAGTTGGAAAATCTTAACATTTAATTTTCTTTGCTACTGGTTGTTCATAACTGTCATGCAAGTAGTCTTTTGTTTATTTTTTTCATGTCGACTGTGTACTTTTCTTGTTTGTGAGGACAATCATTTATTTACTTTTGCAGAAAAGTGCAGTTTACAAGAGAGTGTTGTAGAGGTCTACATGTTGGTAAACTGGTTAGGTATGCATTTTGCAGTGTTTTCCTGAGGCACATGATGCAGCAAAATGCAAACTATCCAACCCCATTTAAATGACTGCAGCATTTTGACATAAATTACAATAAGTGCACCAAGGTGCCATCTTACTTCCAGGCTACCCCTGTCGCTACACGAGAGTTAGGCAGTGGTCCAACTTGAGAGTGACAGCAATTAACCTGCCTTCCTAGCTGTTTAGCTGGAGGAAATAGAAGGGATGAGAAATCTGACAGCAAGTGATGGGTAATATTTAGGGTTTAGGGGCAAATGAAATTCTCCCCAAAATGAAAGTCATTAGGGAGAAAGTTACCCCACAGACAAAGGACAAAATGACAGTGTGTGTTTTTGTGTGTGTTTTTTGTGTGTGTGTGTGTGTGTGTGTGTGCATGTGTGTGTGCATGCTCATTTAACAGACACGTGAGCTCAACTCCCTCTTATAACAACTCAAGTTTGTTGTTTAGTGTAGGTAAATACTTAAAATACTGACACACAATGTTCACCTACCATCACCTCGCACAAACAAGCCTCAAGCATCATTCTCTCTCTGCCCTTCACCTGCCTCTCTGTCTTTCTCTCCGTACCACATTTGAGAAGACACAGACACACACACACACACACACACACCTAAGATGCAAATCTGGGCTTTGCCCTTGAGCATAATTTAAAGGCCTAATCACCCAGACTGTCCCTTTGGATGGAAAAGGGAAGGAGGGTGGGAGGATGGTGTCTCTCATTTGCACCCTTACACAAAGAAGCTCATTAGGTTTATCTTTCAGGCCTGAGATTGCCCCACTCAACTGTGTAAATAAGACACCGGCCCTGGACTGATGCATCAATCACCTCTCAGGACAGGAGACAGACCTCCGCTGAAATATGAACGATTTCATGAAGGAGCCTTTTGTTAACCATCATCATCTGTGTGAAGATAAGGCTCTTCTGTAAAGGCGAGAGAAGCATTAGGGAAGCAGCATGTACTGTACGTCTTTGTAGAATTATTTCCCCTTTCAGTGAAAAGACAGCTCTTCTTGGCAATCCTTGTGTCTGACTTATTTACAATGA